ATCGATTATAGCGTAGTAACGTTGCTTCCTGATTTTCTGGCCGCGGCTTTACAATAACGTTTTTTTTTTTCTGTCACTTTAATATCAAATCGGTTGGTGACGCAGAGATCAGGGAACAGACGTGACAGCGGCATAGCTGCACAGCAACACCAAACACGGAGCAGTCTGCTTTATCCACCAACACAAGAACACCAGTCCAGAACCAACAGCAGAAGGACCCGCTCTGAATCAGTCCGTGTCGCTGCGGCTCAGAGACACAAGGATTTATGTTTTTAAAAATACTCGCGTTACAATCATGTCAGGTTTTTTGTGGATTTAATTAAGTCTTGGATTGCAGAGTATGAATGTCCTCTTGCTATTTTCAGACGATATTATACGTGTGTTTGGTGTGTAAAGTTTGTGAAGGCAGGAGGAAAAAAGCTTCCGCGATCACCGTCTCCTCTCCGTTCCTCCAAACCCCGCCCCCTCCCTGAAAATAATGAGTGACAGGCTGATAGTGACCTGATAGAAACTTTATTATTCACTTAATCACTGATTGAGATATGATGAAGCTAACTTAAACTCCTACAATCATGGGATTTATGTAACAGTAAGAGAGAGAATGTAAGTGTGCACCCACATGCAGTATTTTTGTTTTTATATGCTGTTGTAAATACTCCTGTTGTCTGCTGTGTTCAGACTCAAGTCATGTTTGTGATGCCACATTCAGGACATTCAGTGTCCTTTTCTTAACAGAAGGCCGTTGCTAGAAGCTGCAGGAAGACTGCAGAAGTATTCGTTTTTGAGGATGGAACAATTTCACACTCAGATACTGTATAGGGATGCTAGTGCTATACAATTGATTGATTTTGGTTTATAAATTAATGTCAAGACATTTATGTTATTGATTTCTGAAGCACTTTCGAAATAGTAAAAAGAGAGTTCATATGTATTTACTGCATGTATTCATTGATGAAAAAGAAGCCATGTGCAGTAATATAGAAAATTGAGGAGGCAACGCATTGGTATGAATCGTGATGCATCGGGATATCGAATCGAATCGTTGACAGGATAATCGTAATCGAATCGTGAGACCAGTGAAGATGCACAGCCCTAGTGTTAACAGATACATTTCTATTATATTGTTATTTTTATACAATATTCTGTGATATTCTGGCTCCCTATTTAGTTATTTGGTTGTTATGGGTGATACAAGCTGATTTATAGCTGTATTTTGACAGGAGCTCGCCAGGTCAGATGATGATCCACAATAAAACGGCATGACCTTTTTCAAATGCTCCTCTTATTCAGTGTGTCAAGGACAATTTTACTGTGGTTAAACATGATCAATTGTCATTTTGAAGTCAAAAATCGAAATGACATTTGTTGGAATATTTCAGCACAGTTCAGTTCTGCACATTATTATTATTATTATTATTATTATTATAACAGCTTTTTATCATGTATATCATGTTTATCTGGTAATAAAATATTTTTTTATCGGAACTTCTTAATTATTCTTTGAATTATATTAGATGTACATGCGTTACCTGGCTCATGAGCCATGGCAAAAAACGTGCTAGATAAATCGTTCTAAATCAAGGTTGCATTTGCTATGAAATAGGTTTTTTAGTTTAAATAATAATTGTTCAAACAAACTCAACCAGGGTCCCAATATAGACACATGTAGTTCTTCTAGCTTGTCTACATGTCTCCCAATGTTTTTCTACCTAGGGCTTAAGTGCAGCACCCAAGCGTTTGTGTGCACCATCTAAGCCAAATGGATGTGGAGCATAACTTTAAGATTTTGCTTGAGCTTTATGTACACAGATATGGTTATAATAATGGTCCAAAATGATGTGCAATATGATTATCTCTTTACTTGCGCTATCAACACTACTGACTGAAAAGTGTACACAACAATTTTCCTGAGTTTAAATAAAGTTGTATGTTATCCTATAAATGTGTGTTAAAAAAATCATTGCCAAGGTTGAATACTTTTTGTTTTATCTCACAATGTCTGCGGTTTTACACTTTTAAATGGTGAGTAATGACTCAAAATATGACATCACGTATTGCTGTCATACTTGGAGCTTGCAGTGGGTCTTTTGGGGAAAGTAAAAATATTTTTATATTAAGAAATATTGTTTACTTTAAAAAGAAAACAAAAGTTTCGATTGTTAACATAAACCCATCTTCATCATCAGTTGTAACAAGTCATGTTTTCATATTTTCACTCAACAAGAAACATTCTAAACAAACCTGTTGTTGTGAACTCATGAGATCAAGCCGCAATTGTGTTTGCAACACAGCAAAAAGGATTGCAATAGACAACAAACTGAAAACGCGCGGTTTTCACATAGCCTGGAAAGATTAGGAGTGCGGACTATCGCTTAAATTACCAACAAGTCTAAACAACTGTGCATAGCACTTGTAGTAACACCATAACAACAAGTCAACAAAATGTCCATTTAACCGTGGCTATGAGAGCAACACATCCCCAGTTGCCGCTCTAAAGGCAGCGGATCGTAGCCATTGCTCGGTCAGAGCAGCCAGTGCGCAGGATATGAATGGAGACACTGCAAGCGGCTTGCTACATGCTAGCTGCTGTTTTCAAAGAGCTTTTGCATGCATAATTTGTCGATTCGTAACATTGCACAGCATTAAACAGCAACGCGACTTACTTAACACTCTAATTTAATAAAACGTGTGATTTCAAAACCTCGTTCAGACTACATTTCCAGCATTTTGATGCATCTGGGTTGAATTTCGTTAGCCTAGCTAGCTAGCTTGCTAAGCCAACCCAGCTATCAACAATATTCAGACGCACAGCTAGCTTGAGCCTTTGACATTCAAAACAAACCACCGAGTGACATTATTTTAACACTAACATTGCACAGCGGCAGGTCAACTCGACCGAGACCTTAAAGTACTGTTTGCTCAGAAGTGTGGACGCAATTGCGTAACGAGCTATCTATCTCTGCTTCCAAGCAAAATATGAGTAAATGTTGGAATACTCTGGGATGAAGGGGGTATGCTTGGGAATTCGGTGGAAAATGACCATGTTTGCCGGGCCGTGCAGCCATGTGGCGTTTGGGTTGCGATAGCTGTGCAGTTAGCGGATTCGCTGTAGAACCCGAATATTGCAGCGTTGATACGGTTATTGGGATAAATAGAGAAATCTCTACATTTGTAACAAACTCACCCGAGACGATAGAGGTGCAGGCAGCGCGGGGTCTCCAGGACAGCCTCGCACGGGCTGCTGTACAGGACCCAACTAGAGACAGGAAACAGGAGACTTCCGTTTTGCCTGAATGAAATCCGTGCCTCGTCTGAGTGCCTCGTCGACATGTACCCCTACGTTTTTCAGTGTTGCTGAGATAAATCACTTACTTATCGTACAAATACCACAATAGCAAAGCACTTGACTAAAAGTCCCGCACTCAACACCTTACTTAAGTAAACGTATTTAGGCTAAAGATTTATAGGCTACTTCTACTTCGTCAAAAGTAAAAGTGTTCAGTATGCAGTAAAATGTTCCCTTTCAGTTTTTTACTATTATTCATGAAGTCTCAAGATAATTATTATTGCTGCATTGATGTGTTGAATTGTTACTGCTGTATAAGTAGATAAAACTTCCACATACAGTACATTGGACAAAAGGCTTGCACAGTTTTTAAGAGTACCTGTCAAATTGGACACATTTTGGGACGTTGGAAATCTGGGGACTTTTCCTCATAATGACTGTCAAGCTAATTGTTTGTTTGTAGCCTTTATTTAACCAGGTGAAAAATCCCATTGAGATCAGCGATCTCTTTTTCAAGGGAGACCTGCAGTACATTGGTTACACATAAAAACAACAGAAAACTAAAAGGACATCATACAACATAATTACAGGGGTATAAATTAGCAACCTATTCACAGTGACAGGTATCTAATAACATTTCATCCAGCCGCGCTTTAAAATGATGCAAGGGAACCAAACTGCTCAGTTTCAATTTGTTTTGCATAGTGTTCCAAGCTAGAGGAGCAGCGCACATAAAAGCTTTAAATGCTAATGCTTCAAATCATCTAAAAACTAAGAGACTGTCCTTTGTCTGGTAGAAACCATTTCTATGATCAGGACATCTCGATCCAGAGTTTATACTGGATAATATAAAGTTGCCTATTACAATTGTAGTTGTATACTTCCAAACTCCACCCCATCACATCTCAGAGGCAAATATTTCACTTTGTAATCAATTTTTTTTAGTAGCCTTACTAGTTACTGCAGATTTTGATATTAAACACAAAATAGAAAAATCATCGAATTATCTCATTATACATTAGCTACCCAGCAGTATATTGAGTATTTAAAAATAACTCCATCTTAACCAGCTACATTATTAATCTCTTTTAATAAAAAAAAGTCTTAAACTGGTAACTACACATGAACACATGCTCATATTATTTATTCAATGCTATATTATCAGTAGTGGAAAGTAAGTACTGTACTTATACAATGTTAACACTCCACTCTCCTACTTTACCTAAATATTTCCACTTTACGCCGTTGTATATTTCTTATCCACAATATTCAGAGGCAAATTTAGATTTTTGCACTATGGTTATTTCCTAACTATATTTACAGGTTGCTTTTCAGATTCAGATTAATAATGTGTAATATTACCAACAATAAATAATGATGTATGTCAACAAGCTACCTAGCAGTAGATAAAGTATTTGAAACCAGGCCCTTTTTTTTACCAATTTGAATTTGTGTACACAACAATGCATTACTTATGATAATGCAATAATATAAAAGGCTATACATTATTCTGAAATGGGACGTTATGCACGGACTTTTTGCACACTTAGCCATTATCATCATACTAATACCTTTTCGCTAAGTATTTTTTCTCAGTTCATCTAAGAATATCTCACTTTTTCCACGACTGTGAATCTGAGATAGATGGAAGCCAGATTTTTTTTCAGAGCACCTGAACGCAGCAGCTCACATTCCTCTGACAGGGTTTACTTTGCGGCAGGTGACGTGACAGAGGCAAATGAGGCAAACCCGCTGCTCTTAGCTCTCATAGCAAGTCTGTTGATTTTCGCAATTCCTCACTCTTCCCTCAGCACAGAGCAGTGACACGAAAAATGGACAATAGCGGGAAAGAAAAAGAAGCCACGGCTTTGATGGCCGAGGCTGAGAAGAAGATGAAATCCACGCAGTCGTTTTTCGGAGCGATGTTTGGGTGAGTTTTTCAGCTAGCTTCTGCTAACCTGTCAAAGCTAAAGGCCGGCTAAGCGGAAGAAGGCTGTAGAAGGCTGGACTTAAACAAATCAACACCACTGCAACACTTGGGCTGGTTTTATCTCAAAATAAGCTGTTGTGGTCAATGTGATTCAAGTGGTGTTAACGCTGCAGTCTAGCTGAATATGTAGCCTTATCTTCGTTCAGATCACTGTTAAACAAAGAAGAAGTGAGGCTAACATGTAGCTGTGTACAGCAGTGGATGACACTTAGTTACACAATGACACGTTTGTACTATATCAGGCGCTTTGATCAAAGTCATCCGTGTAGCATTTTAAGTAATTCACATTTACACTGATTATTATTGTAATATTGCTGCTATAGCGTAATCTACAGGGAACATCTTGCAATGCCACTCAGTCTGTAGGTGCAGATCACATGTTCATCACGTTTGTTTACAATAACAGATTGGGACGGAGTTGTGAGTGCATCTCAAACAAATGAAACCCTTACCCACTAACATATCAGAGGATGGATGTAACAATCCAAATCAGCTTAAAATATTAAAGTGAGGCTCTGTTTACTCAGAAACTTACATGCATTCAGGTAGAAAAAAGAATGAGCCCCCCAGAGGGGAAATGCAGGTGTTGCAGACAGAAATTAGTGCAGGTACATAAAAAGTCAGTATTGTAAAACAGAATAATATATAATGTGATTTGATAATGATACTTATTGCTGTCTGTATTTGCTGTATCAATATAGCAACATATTAGAAATATAACATAGTAAGACAGTATTATAACATTTTAATATAAAATAGTATGGTACAGTGCAGATATAGCTTAAAATAATAATACAAATAATAACAAAAACAATGTTTAGTAAAGTGTGTGTGTTATGATAAAATGGTTCTGTATGCATAATTCGATTTCAATGGATATCAAGGTATTGATCATACATTTTTTTCTTATTCCAATATGTTTATAACAATTTTTTAATGATAAAGAATTGTTCCGAATTAATAATTTCAACAGCGTCTTTTTGAAAACAAATAACAACATCATTATGTTTAATTGTAATACTTTCAGTATGACTTTTCTGAACGTCTTTTGACAGTTTTTAACTGAATTAACAGTGAGTGGTTATCTCACACTTACTTTCATAATGAAGTCACAGCTGTTTGTTTATAACGCTTTTACAAAACCTTGAACACGGCTTAGCCAATCATAATCAAGGAACGAAACTATACGTTTAATAAGTATCTTTGTTATTAATATCTAGTAATAAACTATTACAGCACTTGATATTGCCAATGTCACCCAGTCATACTCAGTGTGAGTGTTGCCTAACTGAACATGTGTTGTTGACCCACAGGGGGGGATCCTCCAAGCTGGAAGAGGCCTGTGACATGTTCGTGAGGGCAGCCAACATGTACAAAATGGCCAAGAATTGGTGTGGTAAGAATCATTATTTCAGATTGAATGAAAATGTATTGATTGCTTCTCTCCCTGTTTAGGTCTGTGACGTCTTTCAATCCTACCAACATGTAATATTTTCTTTTCAGCTGCAGGAAATGCGTTCTCCCAAGCCGCTAACCTCCACCTCCAGATGCAGAGCAAACACGACGCAGCGACTAACTTCATAGATGCTGGAAACGCCTTCAAAAAAGCAGATCCTCAAGGTAATCATTATTCATCCTCACCACCCTCAGGAGTATATGAGTGCTCAGCTCACATAAAGGCTGCTGTACCAGTGGACCATGTCCATGAAGTCAGCTGATGTCATTAAGATCTTCAAGGCGAAGAGCTTTAACAGCTACATTCACGCCGCTTCCCACTGTGAGAAAATGGGATTGTGGAAGGATGAAAGCAGTTGACTGTAGCCTTGAACCTTGCATATCGTACAGCTGGTGGCTAATCATTTTGTTAATTTAACAAAAAGTAATTTTTTATTGATGTAAATTCACTAAATAATTGTGTTTTAAATATTATTATTTTTCTCAACAGAGGCAATAAACTGCCTAAACAGAGCTATTGAGATTTACACTGACATGGTGAGTGTGCAAACTCTTCTTTGTTTCTTTAAATTATTCCTAATATTTACTTAACATGACCCTTCGATCTCTTCTTTGTTGTGTTTTTTTATCCGGGGCTTTAGGGCCGCTTCACCATCGCAGCCAAGCATCACATCACCATAGCTGAAATATATGAGACTGAGATGGTGGACATAGACAAGGTCAGATATCAGTCTTCACCTTTATTACCTTTATTACCTTTATTGTATTAATTCCTGGGTAGATTCTTACTTCTTATTTTCATAACAACTATGTCCATTTTCTATTCCAGGCCATTGCTCATTACGAACAGGCGGCAGATTATTACAAGGGGGAAGAATCCACCAGGTGAGTGTCAGATCAGCACTATTTCAGATGTTTTCTCTTGGCTAATTTTAGGGTGTAATGGTTTAAAGTTATTTCCCCCTAATGAAAGCATTACATTTGAATGTTGCATCTACGTAAATGGGTGTATGTATATGTGTACATATGTATGTGTATGTGTGTATATATAGAATTTTGTTTATTTGTGTGCGTATTTAATTACGGATTGAATCTTTTTTCTTTATCCTGCAACTGGATGAATAACGGGAGGGCTATTTTCTGTATAAGCTATGCTTTCTGCCCTCCCGCTTCTACACATTTTGTTTGTTTGTCAGATTCATAAATTGTCTGTACTAATATTGAAATAGTAGAATAAATGTATACAAAAATAAAATAAAATAAACTTTTACGATTACAAGTTCAGTAAAATGGTGGTCTTTGAGTCGTGATGTCCGCAAATACACTAGGCCTAAATACATACATTTTCCTTTTTCAGCTCAGCAAACAAGTGCCTTCTGAAAGTAGCAACGTACGCAGCTCAGCTGGAGCAGTACCCGAAAGCCATCGAGATCTATGAACAGGTGAGAAAACACTCAGCACCAGAACTATTATCTTAACATGATTTTACTCGCTTTTATTGACAACAACAAACATGAGTTGTGCTGTTGTGATTTCAGGTCGGAACCCACGCGATGGACAGTACGCTCCTGAAATACAGTGCCAAGGACCACTTCTTCAAGGCAGCGCTCTGTCACTTCTGCGTAGACATGTTTAATGCAAAAGTAAGCAGAAGCAGTAGAACCTGTTTACATCAATACCTGGTGTAACACGAGCTTAATAATTATGCTCTTTGTCACCCAGCTCGCCGTGCAGAAGTATGAAGAGATGTTCCCGGCTTTCTCAGACGCTAGAGAATGCAAACTGTTGAAGGTAGGCTTTGATGTTATTAAGTCTTTAAAACTCACAAACAAAAACATCTAGATATACAGAGGCAAAGGGGATTAAGAGCTGAGATAAACCTTACAACTATACGAAGAAGATGATTTACTAAGTTCTATGGTATTAACTAAGTTCTATGGTATTAACTAACCTTCGGGGACAGAGCCTTCAGTGTGGCAGCCCCCACCCTCTGGAACGCTCTCCCTGCGGAGATCCGCAACATCCCCACGCTTGACGCCTTCAAAAGGGCCCTCAAGACCCATCTGTTTACTAAGGCCTTTGGCCCCTAATCTATTGCCCCTTTCACACCAACGCAACTCCGGTTCAAGCTCCGTGCTAGAGCTTTTCTGGTTCAGAACCGGTTCTTCGGTTTAGCGCCGGCTCTTTTCACACCGCTCAGAGCCCGACTGGTGCTGCCGCTGCTGCGTCATGACGTCACAGTTTACGTCGCTGAGTTTCTCCCCAACGCCGGAGCTCACCTCACAACAACAACGGGCCGGGGACTGCGTTGCTTTTAATCATACGAAGCCAGATTAAATTAAATAACGACTTCTCCAACCTTATACTTTTCTCCAGAGTGCCGTGGTTCATTGTTTATTAATGTGTTTCAGCGGCATTTACCGACCGCTGCAGTGCTGGCCGGCTGCTCTTCCACGAGTGTATTCTCCCGTTAGCTCCGGGTTAGCTCACACGGCTCTAAAGTATTCACTGTCTGACTGTCACACAAGCAGCTGATACATATCCCCAGTTCCCCTTAAGTGAATGTGTGTCAGTCTGAATTGACGCTGTTTGGCATCACAACGCTGTTATGAAAGTTTCTCTTGTATAACATGGGTGATGTTAGCATAGCAACCGAAGCTAAACTGACTACTTGCTAAGCAGTTTTCTACAGGCACTTTTTACCGACGTATTTTTCATTATGATTCTACTTGTGATAGTCGGACATGACAACCTGTGCAGCCCATGTATTGATTCCATCCGATAGCTGCTATAATAACAAACAAAACGTCTGCCTGCTCTCCACAATGATCAATAACAGCGAACGGATGGTCAAAGTAAGGTACAAATAAACAGAATCACACGAAGCCTGGTTAGTGTTGCTTGACTTTATAAAGTGTGTTTTTTTTAACAAGTGTGTGGTTGCGTTCTAGTCACTTTGCTCAGCACTACTGCTTGTTACAACTTTTATTTGCCGTACTCGCCTTAAGTGTTAGCTCAGGTTAATCTCGCCCCCCTCCGACGTAAGCGTGACGTATGCGGTTCTTGCTTCTAGACGGACAACTTTTTGGTGCTCGAAACGAACCGGATTCCGGAGCTATGACGCTGCTCCGCTGCGGTGTGAACAGGAAAACCCGGTGCTTTTCAAGCACCAGCACCGAACCGGCCCTGAAACACCGTTGGTGTGAAAGGGGTATATGTGTTGTTTTATCTGTCTGACTGGTTGTCTGACTGCCTTTTGTTTTGTTATGTTTGTTTTGCCCTGTTCTTCTCTGTAAAGCGACATTGGGTCTCATGAAAGGCGCTATATAAATCCAAGCTATTATTATTATTATTATTAGATATCCAAAACAAAAGTTGGATTGTAATGGTCCTCATTCTAAATCTGCCTCAAAAACGTTTTACGCCCCTAGCATGGTAAAACAAAAGCACCAGCCTGCCCTGCAAAAGTTTTTGGGGAAATAAATGCTATTTGGCGTATGAGTCATAAATCTATTGTGTAATGCAGACAGTGAATTGTAGCCTGTTTCTTAGCATCTCAGTTTCTTTTACCCCCAGTGTGTATTTCTGTGTTCAAGCAGCCTTCCTGATGTTCATTATTGTTTTTATCCAACCAGAAACTTCTAGATGCCTATGAAGAACAGAACCTGGAAGCCTATACTGATTCGGTGAGTGCAAGTAGTCTCTCAATGTCTTCTTTTTCGATAAATTGTCCGTCATATAGGCATTGAAGGCATTGAATTTCATTCCTTTGGGTTCCTGCTCATTTAAAAGGAAATAACCAGGTAGACGCACTGATTAAGTAAATCAGTAAAACAACATTTAACTGACATACAAATAGTGTTAGGTGTTATAACGATCATAAAGGACTATATACGCAAAACTTTGCAAGAATACTGTGGCCTGAAGGACATATGAAAGCATCTATACAATATTCAGAAATACGCACGTGGAAGAGAAATAAAGATAAAGTCACGCAGAATTAAATCAAACACAATTTTAATTTAAGAGCAACTCTAAAATCTTTGAGAATTTTTTTTTTTCTGCCAAGCTACTGCTCCACATCAGTCCAGTAGGTGGCGGTAATGCAATTCCTTCCTAAACGTTACACATTTAATCAGTCTAAAATTCATTAAGGCTATAACATTTTCATGGCATGTTTTACACCCCTTATGCTACTGTAAATGCGGGCATAGACTCACTCCAACTTCAAGCTGCAGCACGAGCACATCGAAAACTTTTTCCTGTGATTAAGAGATGATACTTAGTGTTGTTTGTATAGCAACTCAATAGAAGTATAATATAGTATATGATATTGTTAGACAGTATAACAATAACAACAAATATATGATAGAGTGCATGCATGGGATGCAAAATATATAATATGATTTGCATTAAATAAGTATATTTCCTGCTCATGTTCTCAGGTGAAGGAATTCGACACCATTTCCCGGCTGGACCAGTGGCTCACCACCATGCTTCTGCGCATCAAGAAGACCATACAGGACGATGAGAGCGACCTCCGCTGACTCCCCTCCCCGCTCGGGACGTCGAACCTTCAGCAGCCGACTTGCATCCTCCTTTTTGCCTTGAGCCTCTCACTTCCATTCTAGCAGCAATCTTAATTGTTTTACCTCTAGACCCTTATATCCCCTCGCAGATTCTGTGCTCTTTCCGACAGATCTGCAGTATTTGTTCTTGCCTTTTACCGCTCAAGTCAATGCTTTAAAAATGATGCTCTTCATAGCTATGAAGACTATTTTCCCGGTGTGCGCTATGCACACTTTATGTTGCTTGTATACCGTTGTTGTTTTGGTATTGGCCTAATATTAATAACCATAATGGGCTGCAATACTAAAAACTCATACCAGCACACTTATATAATAAAGGTTTTCTTTTTGTTTCTTTTGTTATGAAATGGATGAGAGGATACCAATTTATTAACTTTGATCTACAAATAATCTTTTCCAGAAAATGCTTTGGAATAAACTTAGTTGACCAAAAAGCCAAGAAGTACACACATTGGTTTTTGGTATTTTTGAGTGCTCGAGTATAGGTCATATCAGGGCACCTCTAATTAAACAGCACTAAATCTCAGCTGCAGAGCTCCTCTCCGAGCAGAGAGGCCAAGAGTTTCTGAGGTTGAGCCACGGCAAATACCCACTTTGCCTTATATCGCAAAGTACTCAGGACGACAACAAAAATCATGCTTTGGAAGCTTTATCCATTAATTTGATGATTGTTTTTTTTTCATTTCCATGTAAAGTGCTTTTATCTAAAAAACAAAGCTCATCACATTTGCATGGTTTGCAAATGAAAAAAAAACAGGCCTTTTCCATTGTATAGGAGTTATTTGTCTTTTTTTTTTCTATTTTCTGTGATTGTCTGATTTGTGTTTATTATTATTTTTTCTGTCATAACTAACCTGGCTGGGGGAAAAAGGCCTGCACGAGATGCAATACATTAAAGAAACAGGAGCTTTACTGATCTGAACACTGTGCTCATGTACCCTCCTGGTGATTTTGTCAAGAGACAATTGGTCTTAAATCATTTGTACATCGTGTTTCCTGTCAAACGTTTGAATAAACCTGTCTCAGACGCACTGGGCGTGGCCTCCTAATGCATGCTGTGGACCGTGAAGTGATCACCTGACCTATGAACAGAGCTTTTCCCACAGTCTGCGGTAGAGAGCTACACCTGCATGCGCGTGCATCGCTGGCCCAGTTCCCCAAGCTTCGGACACGCCCACCGCGAAGCGTCAACGCACGTGTAAACTCCTTTAGTGAAAACATGCGGCGGGAAGCTAAATGATGTTTGTCTGTACCTGTCGGTAGGACCTGACGGCTCCTGGATAATATTTGTTCTTCTGCCGCTTCAGACTCATGCTTCAGTTTCTGCTCGGTGGCCTTTCATCTTGGATTAAGTAAGTATTTTACAAACAATGTTGAAAAATCACTTGCTGTTTTATCTGCAGTTCAAAGGTTCTCCCCTATTTATCAAACCTTTGTTACTTTGTGTTTTTTCCATTGATTGGAGTCTTACGCCTCAAACAAAACGATTCAATAAGTTATCCTTATGCATTTTATGTCTTAAATTACAGGTCAGTTTTGTAATTTACTGTGATGCTGTTTAAAGAAAGAAGCCCACTAAGGATTTAACCGAGGTGTTGTTTGTTCAAGGTTGGTCTGTTCCTAATTAGACTCTGGGGACACAGGTGTGTTCAGGTGGGAGAAGGAATACTCTGGTACAAGTCAAAGTCCTGCATTCAAAGTGTTACTCAAGTAAAAGTATTAGCATGAAATATACTTACAGTACCAAAAGTATACTCATTATGCCGATTGTCCCATTTCAGAATAATATATCATGTTTTGAATATAATTATTTATATCAAAGCTGGTAAAGGTGCAGCTAGTTACTTTGTATACCTCAGGGTAGCTTGTGAATTTACTCAAGGTGTAACTAAAGTCTGATCTAAGTGTTGATTTCACATCAATAATCCAAATCTGCAAAGTAACTAAAGGTATTAAATAAATGTAATGGTGTAACAGTAAACGCTTTACCTCTGAATTGTAGTGGAGTAGAAGTACAAAGTAGCATACAATGGAAATACTCAAGTGTTCGGGCTCCCTTTCTGCCAGACCTTTAAACAAACTGCACACATCGGTAGCGAAGGCATGTCATTTTATTGAAAAAGTGTTCGAAGCTTTATTTATCCTCTCACACCAGCTCACTTGAATAATAATAATAAAATCCGAATTACTAATTGATACCCTGGGGAAATTGTGTTGCTTTACAATTACTTCATTTAAGAATGAATATAGTACATTTATTTGTTGTACTTTAAGTTCATTTTGATGCTAATACTTTTACTTCTCACAGAGTATTCCTACACTCTGGTACTTCTACTTAATTACAAGATCTGAGTACTTCTCCCACCTCTGCATATAAATATAGACTTATCGGAAATAATTATGCAAAAATATGTACATTGTACTACAATCTGGGAATATACGAATTAGTATAACATTGTCAATAATTAATTCTGGAAATAGTTTAAATATAAAATTAAATGTACAGTATAAATGCCAGTTATTGCGCAGTTAAGTCAGTCTTGCAACCAATGCAATCCCAAATAATTGGATCAATCTTTTTAGGCATGTTACTTGATTATGGAGATTTTTTTAAATTATTTTCTCAACATTTAAAATGGAGGTAAGTCAGGGGTAATGGACTCTAAAACATTCTCTTAACAATTTTTATAATTTGCCAACAGTGATTTATTCATTATATCAGATCTTTAAAGGTGGGGTATGTAATCTATTTCAGAAACACTTTTTGTTATATTCCATGGAATGCTCTTAACATCCCGATAGCAATGAATATATTAAATGCTTTGACAATAAATACATAAAAAAATGTAATCTGTGGAAGCCGTAGCGCTGAAAAGCACAACCAATCATTTTAGCCGGCCCGGCTAAAATAACTGGATGGCCTACCCGCCTGTCAGCCTTCCATCTGTGCACAAACTTATCTCGTGCCCTCATTGGTCATGTGCGCGTTCGTGTGTGTTGGAGGAGGGGCTCTGTAAGGAAGTGGCAGATTTTTTCCGGTTGTGTATTTTCAAATTCTAGCGCACTCGAGCTGGTTTCTCCAAAATTACATACCCCACCTTTAAGTGTGATTTTTACCAATTGGAACATCCAGAAGTAATTTCCTTAATACCATACTTATTGAAGTTACTTGTTAATTTCTACTGAGGCTGTAATGTTTGACGTGTACATTAACATTATGTTGTTGTCTGGTGTTCTGTTGGCAGGTGGCACCTGCTGTGTAACCTGAACACAATAACACCCCAAGCCCGGAAACATCTCCCTTGAAAGATGATCCAATTCTAGGAACAAAACACCATTTAAGCTTTGTTTACTCGCGTCAATGAGACGCATTCAAACCTTCAGTGCTATGGTCCTCCTCGTCTCTTTATTTCTGATCTTCTTCTACTCAACCCTACACCTGGAGACGACCTACAGTCGCAGGGCTGCACCAGAGGAACTCCTCACGCATCCCAGCCTCCATGTCCATGAAAGGGATGTGAAAACACAACACTCCAACACACCTCAACCAAATGCCTATAATGTATCTGTCTATAAAGACTTCAGAAAAAGCGTCCCTCAGAACGCAGCGTACTGGAACCGCCTGCTGTGGTCAGCCCTCAGGAATCTGGACAAGCGAGAAACCCCCATCAGCCATGACCTCGATTGGTCTCGCTGCAGGGAGACAAATCAAGAGCTTCTGCAAACCAATGTGCACGACTTCACCTCCTACCCAGTCTTATTCCAGGACTTTTTGCAGGCCATGAACTGCAGGACACCCCCTGTCCTTCTCAATCAACCCAACAAGTGCCCCTCTGGTGAGGACAACCAGACCTTCCTGCTTTTTGCTATTAAATCGAATCTTGGAAACTTTGAGCAGAGGCAGGCGGTGCGGGAGACCTGGGGCCGAGAGGGGAAGCTCAAGGGTGGACCGAGGGTGCGCACTGTGTTTCTGCTGGGCAGCTCCCCTCTGGATGACCCTGACCTCAGCCAACTGCTGTCGTTTGAAGCAAGGCACTTTGGGGACGTTGTGCAGTGGGACTTCCATGAATCCCTCTTGAACCTGACGCTCAAATTGAACCTGCTTTTCCAATGGACACTGAAATACTGTCCTAATGCCTCCTTCGTCTTCAGCGGGGATGACGATGTATTCGTCAACACGCCAGGGTTAATCGGCTACATGCAGTCACTGGAGCCGTCCAAGGCCTCTCGGTTGTATGTTGGACATGTTATAAGCACAGCAAATCCCCTCAGGGACCCCAAAAGCAAATACTACATTCCTCTGAGCTTCTATGATGGCCCATACCCTGCTTACGCCGGCGGAGGCGGTTTTCTTATCTCTGGAGCGTTGATGAAACCCCTACATGCAGTTTCACGCATCATCCCTTTTTTCCCCATCGACGACGTCTACGCTGGGATGTGCTTTAAAGCTTTGGGGGTTTCTCCAGAGGCAAACAAGCGCTTTCAGACATTCGACATCAAGGAGCAGGATCGCGAGAATCTGTGTGTTCATAAAGATCTGTTTCTCATTCACCAGCGCTCCCCACAGCAGATAAAGAAGCTGTGGAAGGGCATTCACAGCCCGTTGTTGACTTGTTGAACAGGAATGATGAGTAACAGGAATATAGGCCCAAAGAGAGGAAACATTGACTGCAGCGACATTTGAGTCAAAATGAACACTTTCTAATTGTGTCTTTAACTAAATGTCCCTATTGTGCCATTGAAGTTAAATAAAACAAATCAACAAAGACTTTTGAAAGTTACTTAGTTTATTTTGCGCATAACACCAAACATGAGTTTACAGTTCTAGGATTTAGTATAGTGTGTAACAGCATTACAGCATTCAAACCCATCTAAAACTTGGGTGTGTACACAAAAAAAACAAAAAAAAAAAAAAAAAAAACATTGAAATAGGAATTGTTTAACACAAGTTAGTCAAGTCACCACAATGATACAGAAGAAAACATGGTAAATACATTGATCACTGGAAAAAACTGTAACAGGAGAGTGAAAACAACAGGGGTTAAACTTTTAAACTGTTTATTGCTCGATTTGAATGTTTTTTTAGCATTCAAACTGCACCAGGTGTTTTTGCTGCACTTTTTAAATAGTACATAGGTGACCGAAGAATAACTGAAACAAAAGTGTGATTAGCATTTATAGAAGAGCTTTACTACCGGCAGTACATCTATTAACTTAAGGCACCAAACCCAGAGGCATGAAGTACAATTTAGTTTTAAAACACAATCTTTTTCCTTATTTGTGCAGATAGAAATTACACCTCAAATCTATAATTTCATGAATACAGTAGAAGGTGTGCATTGGTTTATCCCAGTCCTCACCCACTCCAACAATATATCACACCATCCTTACTGTGAAATTGGTTCTTTATCAAACAGCTCAAAGGGGTAGTGCTCTTTGTACTGCTTCATGTGCCTCCACATGGCATCTCTCTGCTTGTTCAGATTGGGCGTCATCTCCTGGTACACGTCGGTGAACATCAGCTCAATGTTCGGCTTCAGGCGTTTCTCGGCCTTCTCGAAGGCCACCATCACCGTCTTGCGGGACTGCTTCCTCCAGCTCTTCTCGTCGTCCTCGCTCCACCAGTTTCTGGCCGTCATGTAATGCCTCAGCCTGGAGATGGGATGGTCCTGCTTGTCCCAGTAGTTCACCTCGTCCACAGAGCGGTAAGCTGAGCTGTCGTCGCTGGTGCTGTGGTGGCCGATTCTGAGGGGGCAAACAAGTATATCAGCTTTTATTAGCATTTAATGGGTGTGTATGTTTTATATATTCAAGCCCTACAGAAAAAGATGTAAGGTTTTAAAATGTTTCTCTTCATACATATTTAAACACTGGTTTATCGAACATTACTTTTCATTATGTTTTGGTATTGTGGAAATTAATGAAACTCAAATATAATTAAAATGTAATATAATCAGTAAGCTAAAGATTAAGAAATCATGGCAGAAAGTTACTGCTGTAATGCAGAAAAAACCAACAACCTGTTTTTA